ATTAAAAAAAAAAAAAAAAGATGTAAATAATAGATGCCCAGCTGGCATGGCTCAGCAGTTGAGCATCGACCTATGAACATACAATTAATAAGAACCAGACTAAAAAGGCTACACGCAGGTGGCATACAAGGACAAATTTTCTAACTGTGGGTACCAAGTGATTTACAAGGATTAAGTTGCTTATGTCTCTTGATTCTGTGGTCCTTCAGCACTGAGCAATCAGCCAGCCAGTAAGGCCTTTGTGGGCTCTAGGCACTTGTGTCATCCCAGGCCCCTTTGTCCACTTAGAAACATTAAAAATGATATTCTACAAGCAGGGTTGGTATATTTATATAATATATTAAAACATTTTCTTTGACCTAGAAGTTCATTTTTTTTCCTGATTTTAAAAGAAATTAAAACATTTTCATGAACCTTTAAAAGTATTGTGGACCCTAGATGCTGTGGCCCCTGTGCCTGATCAGGAAGGTGACCCCACCTGCCAGTGTGGTGCCTGAAGCATACCACGTGGTAGACCACAGTACTCCCTAAATATCCACTGTGGGCACTCTGAGAGAAGAAAGGAAAAGGAAGACAAACTAGATAGCATTTCAATTTATATTGTTATTGTAAGGACAGCCTTCTCCATCATAGGGAAACAATTTTAACCTCAGTTGTAAAGCGTTTGTGAAAGTAGCAGATTTTCGCCTGCAGATGGTGCTAGATACTCAGTTCCCAGGTAACAGGCCAGAAATGCAAAATTACCACTTTGGTAAGAGAGTTTATTGAATATTTAATGCAAACATGACATTTTTTCAAAAATAAAATTCTTCGTTAACACAACATGAGTCTTTTCTGTGAGCCTAGAAGCCTTCGTTACACCTAGTGATTAATCAATAACTATAGCCACTTTGCTGAGCGCAGTTAACGACTAATTCCCATTGTGCAAGTAAGGATGTTACTTTCATTTGAAGATCTGGTGCATTACTCAATCCATATGAGATTAAAACTATGGTGAGTGGTATTAAGGTAAGCAGAACATTCTGGTTTTCATATATACATTGAACTTAGAAAATTCTAGCAATTAAATATTCTAGCCATTACTTTCAGGTATTTCAAAATTTCAAAATCCTATCTTCTTTTCCTTGTCATTGACAAATAATCATAGGTCAGTAGGCAGCACACCCTGAGAGGAAAAGTTCTTTGTAAAGGATATTGCTTTCCTGAATATGCTCCTTCTTGGCACCATGATTTTGTCTGAAGTAAGGAGAGTCCCCCTAGCTATACATCTTGTACATGGCAATACCTGGAGAATATTTGACTTGGGACACCATGAACTTGAAAAAAATAATAAGACTTTCTCGGACACAAACACAATAGTGAGAATAATCCCAATGTACAATAGCTAGACAAATAGATATAAAGATCAAACATATATAAGAGTGCATTCTGCTATTCAGCTTCCAGCTTCCTCACCAAGGAATCGGTGGTAATCCTTACTGGTGTGGCCAAGCAGTCCTCTTATGGTTCAGTTTGGATTCTCATTCTAGGACCTCAGGATCTTCATTGGGATTTCCTTCACTTCTTTGAGTCAATGCTACTTGAGCTGAGATGTTCCTCTCAGGTTGAGGGATCTGATTAGGAAATTCTTAGGGTTGCCTTTTCCATGGCCCCAAGTTGTCTTTTAGGCACCAACACCTGTCCTTTATTTCTAGGGAAGGCTACCTGTCCTTTCTTTCTAGGGAAGACTTTGATGATGACTCCCATATTAGTTAATGGAGATGACAGCTGCTGGATGGCTCATCCCCCTACTCTGACTGCTCTCTGCCACGTCAGTGTTCTCTGCTGATGCTTTCTGATGATTGACAATTTCTGAAGACTGTGGAAATGGACAGGATTTTTTTTAAATCCCTTCTTGTGTTAATAGTCAATTATTTCTTTGGAGTTGACCTGAAACCTATCTCCCCTTATCAAAGAGTCCAGCCATTTCTAGTGCAATGCTGTAAGCATACCCTGTTACAGGATTAGGAGTGAAATAAATAAAGCATTAGACATGATATGTACAGTCTGACCAGCTCATTTCCTGCACAGTGGCCTACGTGGAAAAGTACAATATTTCAATCCAAGAAAAAATTGCAAGGCAGCCCCAGAGCTTGGTGGAAAATGTGGGCACCTTCCAGAGAAAATGTATCATGTCTCACATGAGTCAGACCAACATTCTGAAAAAAAAAAGTTTTAGTTTCCTTTTTTCTCCCCATAAAATAAGAAATAGCTGTAGAAAACGGAAATTTGCCTTACCAGAACATAAAACCTGAATTGCTCGTTTTGAGGGCTGGCATACGGTTGTGTGCCTGGCTCTGCAGAGAGATTTTTCTACAGCCATATGGTTGAATCAAGAAGGGCAATGGGCTAGAGCAGACAGAAGGCAGTTTACATACAGTTAATGATAAAGTCCTGATGCATAATATATTTGAAAAAGCTTCCAATCTTAGATTCACATTAAAAAGGAGGCAGCCAAGAAATACATTGTTTTTTTCTCCTGAAATGAGAAAACAAAGATGCCAGACAGCTCTGCTTAGATGACCTAACCTTCCAATCACTGTGAAACCACACTATTAAGAAAAAATTCCTATTTTAATTGTTTAAACACCATTATAGCCTTTCCAGTGGGTAAATACTGAGTTTCAGCTAAAACACAAAAATCCTTTACCAACCCATGTGAGCACACAGATTACAGGCTCAGCGAGTCCACATCACTAAGCACTACTGAGAGAACTTGCTAGAAAGAGAGGGTTAGGTTCCCCAACCCCCAGGGAAAACTAAAATGACAAGCATGGTTGACACCAAAATGAATAATCAGTCTGTAACTTCCGATGGACTGCTCATGCTGAAAATATTACAGATGAGATTTTAACTAATTAGGCCCCAAGCTCCTTGTAAAAGCCGCATTGAAATTAATTAAGGTGATTGCTACTCATTATTTTTTCAAAAAGCAAATTTTTTATTACATGTACAAAACTATCAGAGAAAAGTAAACACTGCTGCACTACCATATAGATAAAATATTTAAAACTAACTTTATTTTTTAAGCTGTTCATTCAACTTGCAATTGGTAGACTATTATGAATTCTTTAGCTAATATGTAATAATAATTGAATTAACAATGAAAATTAAATCAAGATTTGTAACCTTTTATTGAGGCCCAAATTTAAAGCGTTATAACATCCACTGTTAAGAGCAGTACTATGAAATGGGAACCGTTAGTGGAAATTGTGAGAGTGACGGCAATTTAAGGTAAGACATCAACATTTGAAATACCATCTGATATGTTACTCTTCTAATTATTCATTTTAATTATTAGAATAATAATTTCACTGCTAAAAGTTCATTGTGCCATTGTTTTTAATACTAAAAAATAAAAACTAATACATAAAATATTTAAATCATCAACAGAAAAATAGTTAAATTATCAAATATCGAGCTATGGAATTTCTATACAGTCAATAAAACAGTAGAACTGTATCTTATAAATACAGCTATTATGCTGTTGAAAAGGCAAATTTCCAGACCATAATTATAGTATCTTCTTGTTATAAAATATGAATGTGCTTACATATGTGTAAAAACATATATGTTTTTAATAACAGAAAATTTCTAAAAAGATAGACATTAAATTGTTAAAATTGGTTACCTCAGGGAAGTGGGATTAGGAGCTGAGGTTGGTTTAAATAGATTTTACTCATTACTGCATATACATTTGTACTGCTTAAAATTTTATAGTGGTCTTAAATTATTTTTGTAATTTCTGCTTTTGCAGAATTTCTCATTTGCCTCCAATAATGCAGCTTTCTTAAAATACCAATTAAAAGACATTCCAAATAATATGAGTTGAAAAGTCAAAGAACCACTGCATAGTTTTTGTTAACTGAAAGGGGGGAATAAAAATTAATTAAAAATGTAATGTTATTTGTATAAAATTTTTGTTGTGAAACATAATCATGCTCTTTTCAGAGTAAAGGATTTTGCTAACTCATTATTGCATATGTATTTAAGTTGGAAACCATTGTGTTTAAATTAACGAGAATGGTTTACAGTCCCATGAGTGTTATCATAAGATTAAAATTAATTGCTCAGAATTTTCATATGAGGCCAAACTGGACAGGTAATCAGTCATAGGCTAATGTTATTAGCTTGATTCATGCTATCAAACTATATTTCTGATAATACCAGGCAAGGGGATAGATGAGAGAAAATATACTACATAGCAAAATGATGGAATCAAGTTCTTTTGTTTGCATTAACTCTACTATTTAGAGGTCACATTTACAGCAGAGTTGAGTTTACTGAATAATTCAGGCACAAAGCTCACATTTGCCTAAATTTATGAAAGCAAATACACCACAAAGTAATTTTTCTCCTTATAAGTTTGTAGAGTGCCTTTAATGCTTTAATGTGAAAATTTTGGAAGCTTTAAAGGACTGAATGAATGATACTTTAAAATGAATTCATGAACATTTCTTTTAAAGAGAGAATTAAAACACACTATTCATTTTATATATATATAACCTGAGGTATGCAGGGGTGTAGTGACCTTTCCCAAAACTCATAAATCTGATGAAATGTAATGGTTAATTTTCAGTAGGAACTAAAGTAAAATATAATATATATATTATATTATATTTATTATATTATATTATATTATATTATATTATATTATATTATATTATATTATATTTATTATACAAAGGAAAATAGTATTGGGATGGGGGAGTGGGTGGGGAGAGATTAATCAAAGAACTTATATGCATATATGCATAACCCATGGACACAGACAATAGTGTGGGGAAGGCCTGGGAGCTAGGCAGATGTAGGGTGGAGGGGATCAATGGGGGATAAAAAGGGGGACATCTGTAATACTTTCAACAATAAAGATAAAATTTTAAAAAAATACCAAAATGAATACCTTCAATTCAATTATCCCCTTTAGAAATACGCCAGTGCCAACATGGTCGTACCTTTAGTCTCTTACAACCCTGCTTCTCCTCACCCCAAACTGCTGGCCTGCATCCTGTTTATTGCTGATGCTAGGCGACCTCTAAGATGAGCCCCAGTGACCACCGCTTTCTGTTACTCACACCCTTACATAATCCCCTTGCTTTGAGGGTGGGCTGGGCTTGGGGATTAATTTCTAACGAATAGAATGTGACAGAAATAATGACAGTCACTTAGGACATTAGGTTATGAAATTACTGTAGCTTCTCTCCCCCCCCGCCCCTCTCTCTCCCCCCTCT